TGCAGTCACTGAGATTGTTACTGACTGTGTGGAATATGTCACGTGTGACTGGACTCGTGGCAAATTACCTTTTGGCTTGAATATAGAGAGATAAGCTGATCAACATGGTATTTACAACTGTAACCAGTTGATCCTTCTGCTCCGCCTGTCACACCTCCGTGGCTTCTGCTGAAGCCTGGATTGAATTCTGAACTCAGTTCAATCATGAATAAGAGAATGGACCAAAACATAATAGAAGTGATTACTCAAGACTTTCTATCTGAAAATTATTCTAATTTCACACATATATACACTGATGCATCGAAAGAATCATCCCATGATCGTACTGCTGGGGCTTTTGGATACCCAATTTACCGATTGCTAAGGTGTTCAGATTCCCTGATTATCTTTCTGTTTTTGCAGCTGAACTTTTGTCCCTTTTGCAAGCATTGAGATATGAGTAGATGAACATGACCATGAAGCAATTATCTTTACAGATTCCATGGCAGCAATCAAAGCTATAGACGCTGGTGCAAATGGATCTAGAGATGACATTGTTCATGAGATATTAAAGTTGGATACATCTTTAAACATGAAGTACATTGCATTCGACATTGTGTTGGTCCCAGCACATGTTGGAATACATGGGAATGAGATCTGGCCAAATAAGGGTTACAGTTTCATGAAGTTGATTTATCTAAATTTCAGCCCATCCCCAAAGATTTTAAAATGTTTGTGCAGATTTGTTAGTCTTTGTGTCCTACAAGGAGCGGTGGGGTAGCCTAATGGTTAAAGCGTTGGCTCGTCACGCTGACGACCCGGGTTCGAATCCCCACATGGGCACAATGTGTGAAGCCAATTTATGGTGTCCCCCGCCGTGATATTGCTGGACTATTGCTAAAAGCGGCGTAAAACCCAACTCACTCACTGTGTCCTACAAATACAAAACAAAAATCGATTTCAACACACATTGTGTTGAAGATTTCACTATATTTTATCGTGGTCACTGCAAGCAGTGAGAACTTATTTCGAGGCTACAAGAACACATCTTCTGGTTTCGAGATCATGAGTGACGGCCGTAATCTAACGTGTTGATAGTGGGACATCTTAGTTCTGTCCTAAATACCAAACATGGGCTGTTCTGGCTTCATATAATAAATACGAATAATTCATCTATGTAAATATCATATATCACAATAACGAAAATCAATCATATCCTACATAACTCTGTGTTTAGCCTAAGAAGGTACATTTACAGGTACAATGACAAAATACTAAGAAAATATGTTCGTTGCCATTTATATATGAGACGGCTTATAGCCTGAGACAATTTCATGATATTACCTGACACCTGTCCCTGGGTCCATGCATTCTAACAGGTGCACATGTCATCTGTGTAGGCGGTGTTTTCATATGGTTCTTGTCCTACGTTATTGAGATATAATTGCTGCCAGTGTTAAAGCGTGTACACTACTCTATAGCTGCATAGGAAATGATAAAACAGGACCAGTATTAGGAGGGTGACGTTTTCATGTACAATTTCTGTAACTCTTATATGACATGTGTTGACGTCTATGTGTTGAAAATATATGATCACTCAAAGTTAAGATAATTGGTACACTAATCTTATGTCATATCACTCCAATCCTGAAGGATCCTCACTGGCTTCCAGTGCAGCACAGGATTACTTTCAAGATCCTCTGCTTAGCCCACCAGTGTCTGTCCGGCGACGCTCCAGGCTACCTACAGGACCTCCTGCCTATCTACTCTCCCACTCGATCCCTACTCTCTGAGTCCAAGCTTCTGTGTTGCATTCCCAACGTTAAGACTGTGAGATATGGCCAGCGTTCCTTCTCATATGCAGCGACATCCGCGTGGAACAGACTCCCAGAATCAATCAGAAGATCTCTAAATCTAGTGTCTTTCAGACGTCAACTCAAGACCTATCTCTTTCAACAGCTCTGAACTCTTTTTATTTGACTGTGCGCTTCGAGCATGCATCAAGCATGGAGTAGTGCGCAATACAAGTAGCCTATTATCATTATTATATTACTAGTGATGCCTGAAATTGACCTAACTCTAACAAAGTTTAAGAAATCAGAAACAAATAAATTACAATATAAACAACAATATAATCAATTAAAACCTAATTATGATACATGCAGGTCCTTATTTACAGATGGGTCCAAGGATGGTGGCGCGGTGGCATGTGCCACTGTCATTGGATCTAGAACAATATCTTCTAGAATCCCAGATAACAGCTCTATTTTTACAGCAGAAGCAAACGCCACCTTAACGGCTCTTAAATATATACAAAGACACACTAAACATAAACAATACATAATCTTTTCCGATTCTCTTTGATGCCTTAAGGCTATAAGAATCTTTCTTGTAAACATCCAATTTTAATCGAAATTATTGAATTGTATAATGAGCTTGCTACTGGTCAATGCGACATCGTCTTTTGTTGGTTACCGAGCTATGTTGGCATTTCTGGGAGCACAATGGCCGATCTTGCTGCTAAGGCAGCACTTAATAAGTCTGTGACACCACTTCTTATTCCATATTCTGATTACAAAGCTAGCATTAAAATCTACATCCGTGATCTGATGCAAAAGAAGTGGGACACCCAGGTAGGTATAAATCAATTACATGAAATAAAACCCTATATTGGTTACACCCACTTGGGTTGTCAGTCCAGATTTGAAGAGGTCATCATGCGACGATGTCGCCTTGCCACAGTAGGTATACCCATGAATATTTACTTAAAGGCGAATATCCTCCGTTTTGCATCCCTTGTGATGAGAGAATCACGGTCAAGCATGTCCTGCTTGAATGCATTGATTTTTCCATCACAAGGGATAAATATTTTTATGTTAAAACAATTAAGGATTTTTTTTATAATATTAATTATCATTTAGTAATTGAATATTTAAAGGAAATAGAATTATTGCATATATTTTGAATAATATGTTTTGTACATAGTTAAATGTTATTTTAAACATGGTAGTATGAATTAGCGACTGCGATTGTTAGTGGCTGTATCCTGATAGGGGGTTAAAATATCGGATAATTATTGTCCTCCTGAGAGGGTACATAAGTCCCAAACACTTTCAAAGTCAATTTCGTAAAAACCATACTTTTAATCGTAGTATTTTGTTATTTTAACTTTCGGCTAAATCTTCCTACATCGCCAGCGGCTGAAGGGATGGTGTAAATCCAGCTAGGGTCCATGCAGGTAGCAAAATTTATGTAAGTCCCCAGGGTTCCTAGTATGGTGATCTACCTTCAGTTGTTGGCAATCTATAGCCCGTGTTTTATATTGTATTGTCTTCTTTAATCAAAATCTTTTAGATTGACATGCTAGTTTTATGTTCCTATATGTGATGTTCTAGTATTTTTACTGTCCATCGTCGACAGGTTTTACTCTCCAATTTTTTTTTAATTATTAATTGTATAACTGGTTTTCGTCACGATATGGCTGAGATATTGCCGATGTGACGTTAAATATTTACTCTTTTATTTAATATGAGTGAATGTTATTGTATTAGCTTCATACTAGCATACACCATCACTTTTATAGTTTTAAAATACCATTCACTTTAACTAAGTGAATAGACCCGTGAAGATTCAGGTTAGAATTGATCTTCAGTGAGTAACCTATGTTTGTGGTAAGAGGGGACTAATGGTATCGGGTGGTCAGACTCGCTGACACATGTCATCATGTCCCAATTGCGTAGATTGAGGCTCATGTTGTTGATCCCTGGATTGTCTGGCCCAGACACGATTACAGACCGCCTCCATGTAGCTGGAATATTGCTGACTGCGGCATCAAACAACCAACATTCTACTGTATGTTTCCTATTATCATTTCATTGTCTGTGTTACATACCGTTTTATCTCGTGTAAATGAACATTTCATCGATATAAACAGCTCACTAATCGGAGCTATTTTATGATTGGAAGTTTGAATTAATAACTCTGATTGTTAGTTACTGTATCCTCAAATGGGGTTAAAGTACTGTAAAATTATTGTCCTCCTGAGAGGATACGTAAGTCCACAAACATTTAAAGTAAATTGAAACTCTCCGCTATTTTTAATCGTAGAATATGTGTGTTTTTAAATGTATGGCTAGATTTGTCTTCGTTGCTAACTGCTGAGGGGATGGTGTAACTCCAGCTAGGGTCCATGCAGGAAGCAAATGTACTGTAAGTCCCCATGGTCCCTAGTATGGTGATCTACCTTCAGTCGCTGGCAATCTATAGCCTGTTTATATATTGTATTGTCATCTATAGTTCCAATATTTTAGATTTAATTGCTAGTTTTAAATGGATATCTGTGATACACTAGTAGTTTTACTGTTCTTCGTCAACGGGTGTTTTAATTTCTAACTTTATCGATCATTAATATAATTATAAACTGTCCTCGTCACGATATGGCTGAAATATTGCCGATGTGATGATGCATTTTAACTCACTCACTCACTCACTAATCGGAGTTCCTGCTTGGTAACCTCTTTTGCATATTTATAGGATTGCACTGCAAAACCTGTTGGATTGGTTTATAACATCCATAAAGCCAGAATTGATCTAACAGAGACCTCCTTTGTGGTGTAGTGGTTAGAGCGTCCGCCTCGAGAGCGGAAAGTCGCGGCTTCGATCCCAGACCGCGTCATACCAAGAGACTTAATATATGGTACTTGTTAGTGCCTGCCTGGCGCTCAGCATTAATGGGTACAACAAGCGGCTCGGAGTCAGTAGAATGTGTCTGAGTGGGATATTCAGTGCGGCAGGGTATCTCAGTGAGTTAGCACTATAAACCCAGCTAATGTCTGGGCTAGTGCGCGCAGCCACACATACAAACGCATGCACGTCGTCATATGAGCGAAATAATCTTAAGTACGACGTTAAACCTCCATTTCACCTCACCTCACCTCACCTCACCTCATCCATCTAACAGATCCATTTTTGTTAGTCTGAGTAAATGATGAACTTCTGTATTAAAACAACGAAAAAAGAACTAATTACAATAACTTTATTGAAGTTTGCCAGCAACAAGTGCGACAGAAGTGACGTGACCACCATTCCCATCAAAGGTCATGGTCACTGTATTTGATGTGTGGACCTGTGATGCCGGAACCATGAAAACCCACACGTTCCATTTTGTTTTCGCCTTAACCTTCATAGCATCAAACAGCATGTAGCTTGAAGACAACGTGTGGCCATTGAACACAACTGCCTTGGGTTTTGCATTAGCATTCTTGTCTCGGCTAATTCCTATTCTAAGATGGGATGAATGGTATCCGGAGCTGGGTAGATGGATGGTTGTCTGCGCATGTCCGTTGCTGATAGGGATGATCATGTTCTTGCCATAGTATGTGTTCTCGTTATCCGTGTGTATTCCGTTAAAGTTGTAGTTGGTTTTGAACTTGTAGAAGCAGGTTGATGATCCTGGCAGTCCGACGGTGCCGTGAAGCTTAGACCTGTCGAAACTGTAATTGGGATGAATAGCTGGATTACCATTGTCGAGCAGAACACATGTTTCTTCACCCGTGGAAGGGTTAAGCCAGTTGTTGGGAAAATCCAGTTGAACATTCTCAAATTTACTCCCATAGTTGTGGAGTAGAACCATCATCTCTTTGGTGTGAGGATTTGCAAGGGCGAGCGCTGCAACTATTTTCTCCTGTCCATTGTATTGACTGGAGACACGGAGAAACCTGTGGTCATATATAAAGTTTTTCCAAAACGTGAAGAATTTTGTATTCTCACGAGGCTGTCCTTGCATTGTAAATAAGGAATTCCGAAGGGAAGGATGACCTGGATATTGTTCATTCGAAAAGAGAAATACTGTAACTCGGTCGATAAACTCTCTCAGGTTAAGGAAAGTAAACATGAAGCCATTTGATTGGTAAATGGTCTGAAAGTCTATTAGTCCATTTTCAAAACCGGCGGCAACTCCTGACACGCCTAATCCAAATTCAGTGTTAACTAGCTGAACGTTCTTTCCTTTCTTGATATGAGAGTAATTCTCCACCATGTCAAGAGAAGCAACCAGACGAGCTTCGTTGATTCCGAAGTTGGTGTGGCTTCCACCTGATATATGCAGGTAGTTGTAGCAATGGAAAGAGAAAAAGTCCAAGTGATCGAGAGACATGTCCAGAAACTTTGCAGTTCTCTTCCAGGAGCTGAAGTTATTTTCATCTGATTGTCGTAAGGCCATGCTGGTGTAGGATGGTCCGGCAACTTTGATTCCAAATCTTGATTTCAGTTTGTCCGCGACGGCCCTATGGAAGTTTATATTCGTTTGTGGGTCAATAGTATCTTCGTACCAGTCAGGTTCATTGATGACTTCGAATATGTGAGGAAGGCGTCCTCCAGTGTAGTCCTTCGCACTCTGAACCATCAGCGACACAAACTCAGCTGCAGCGTCAACGTTGTTTGGGAATCCGCCTTTATGATGAGACTTATCTATCCAGGCGGGCCAGTGCCTACCTGAAACATGAATGAGTGAGTAAAGGCTCTTTTAGCAATATTCCAGCAATATCGCGGACAGAAATGGGCTTCACGCATTATACCCATTTAAGGAATCAAACCGGGGTATTCAGTATGACGAGCGACGCTTTAAGCACCTGGCCCTCCCACTGACCCTTACCTGAAAAGAAGGCGCATACATCAAACAAGATAATGTATGCCAAACATAATAAGCCCGTCATAATATAATGAATGAGTAAATTAGGGAGTGGGTAGCTATATGGCGGCGGTATGTAAATAATCGAAACTAGACCAGACAATCAAGGGGTCAGCAGCATGAACATCGATCAACGCGATTGGGATACGATGACATGTGTCAACCAAGTCAGCGAGCCTGACCACCCGATCCAGTTAGTCGCCTCTTACGACAAGCATGGGTTACTGAAGATCAATTCTAACCCGGACTTTCACAGGTTAGCTGGGAATGCATTTACAATTGTTGGTTTTCTGTCCACATATGGATTTCCTAGCTGAGTAGAACCGATGAAACAAAACGGTAAGGGCTAAAGCATTCAATTTAGCCTCAGACGCTGGGACACCCCTTCGAGTGAGTGAGTGAGTTAATATTTAACGTCACATCGGCAATATTTCAGCCATATCGTGACGAGAACATTTGATATTGAAATGAAATATATGTGTATTATAAACAGTAAAACAACTAGAATATCACAGATATACATGTCAAACTAGTAATAGAGTCTAAAACATTTTAACCATAGGGGACAACACAATATAAAAATAGGCTATAGATCACCAACAACTGAAAGTAGGTCACCATACGAGGGTCCATGGGACACCCCTTCGAGGTCGACTCTGTACAAAAGTATCTTTCGAAAACGATGTCACTCTTTTTATATATCTCTGAAAGAGTTTAATAACATTTCAAACCTTCAATGTTCCAGACAATGTTGGCGATGTTGTTTCCATAGTTACTGAGCTGTTGTTCATACCACGACCACGTCTTTGACTGGAGTGTGTGGTCCTGGAGATATTTAGGGTCTGGGTAACCATGGTGACTGTGGCTTTGGGGCCACTGAAAGAAATATACTGACAATAACATAAATGCCGTTTCATTCTGTTGAAGAATAGCCGTTCATATGCATGACTTGTATGTAAGTTTTAGTTCAGCTACATTGTATGGAAACTTGCAAGAATATGTTCCAACACCTAACTTTTAGTGGTGTGATATAATATATATATCTTCAAACGGATTACTTGTCTATCATTCTCTCATATGACGAGTTAGTGAGTGAGTTGAGGTTAATAGTCACATCAGCAATATTTCATCCATATCGTGACTAAAACAGGCAATACTTAAATGATTTACAATGTTAAATTACTAAATCTGTCACCAAACCAGCATGGAACGTAAAATTATATATTATTTAGAACATTATAATAAAAAACTGGTTGTAGATCACCAGCAACTGACCGTAGACCTCCATACTGGTGACCATGGGGACTTACAGTACCTTATGCTGGAACCCGTAAAGATCCGGGGTAGAATAGGTCTTCAGCAACCCATTCTTGTCATAAAAGGCGACTATGCTTGTCGTAAAAGACGACTAACGGGATCGAGTGGTCCGGCTCGATGACGTGGTTGACACATGTCATCGGTTCCCAATTGCGCAGATCGAAGCTCATGCTGTTGATCACTGGATTGTTTGGTCCAGACTCGATTATTTACAGACCGCCGCCATATAGCTGGAATATTGCTGAGTGCGGCGTAAAACTAAACTCACTCACTCACTCCCCTTATGCTGGATTCCTGATATGTGACATTGTGAAATATTTTGCACATTATACATGTAGTATTTCGTATATTCCATGTCCTTTCACAGGTAGCATAAGGTTTAATTACAATCTGTGATAGTCTAGTCATTTGCTGGCAGATGGTATACAGTGAAATCATTTGTGTTATCAGTGTTATACTGCCACAATATGGGTGAAATATTTCTGGTGTGACATTTGAATGTACCTCACAACATGTTCAGATTCAGTTCCCCTAGGTTTTAATGTATCAGTGAAAGCAAGGAGACTTTTCAGCGATTCTGTGTTTGAAACCACTTTGCAGCTGAATCCCTCTGGGTGAGGTGAGGTGAAATGGGGTTTAACGTCGTGCTTGAGAATATTTCGCTCACATGACGACGTGCATGCGTGTGTATGTGTATGTGTGGCTGCTTGTACTAGCCCAGACTGAAGCTGGGTTTATAGTGCTAGCCCACTGAGATACCATGCCGCAGTGAAGCCTGAATACCCCACTCAGACACATTATACTGACTCCGAGCCGACCAGTCATTGTTGTACCCATTAATGCCGAGCGCCAGGCAGGGACCAACAAGTACCATATTTTAACGTCTTTTGGTATGACGCGGTCGGGGATCGAACCCGCGACCTTCCGCTCTCCGGGCGGACGCTCTAACCATTACACCACGGACGCGGTGAATCCCTCTGGGTTTGGACCAGGCAAACCTTTGCCAAAACACAGATTGATTATTGTTATCTGTTCCAGTCAAAGCGATAGGCGAAATATCAGCAGCAACCTGTCCCGTGAGCAATAAAGGACACATGAGTGAGTGAGTGAGCGAGTTAATATTTCTCGTCACATCTGCAATATTTCAGCCACATCGTGACGAGAACAATTAATGATTATATCATATATCAATAAAATTAGAAATTAAAACCTGTTGACGAAGAACAGTAAAACTACTAGTATTTCACAGAAATCCAGTTAAAACTAGTGATGATGACTAGTTTAGAGTGAGTGAGTGAGTTAAGATTTATCGTCACATCGGCAGAATTTCAGCCATTTCGTGACGAGAACAATCAATTGTTATACATGGTAAGTAATGGTAAATTATAAAAAAACTGTCAACGAAGGACAGTAAAATAACAGGAATATCATATATATATGAATATATAACTAGTAATTAAATCTAAAACAGTTTAACTATAGATGACAAGACAATGTAAAAAAAGGCAATAGATTGCCAACAACTAAAGGTAGATCACCATACTAGGGACCGTGAGGACTTACAGTACATTTGCTTCCTGCATGGACCCTAGCTGGATTTACACCATCCCTTCAACTGTTAGCAGAAATGATCCATGAGCTCCTACACGCCAACTGCTATATTCCCAGCACATATCAAAGCATGGATTCTGCAGGAATACCAGTACATTGGCATCACACATTTCCTAAATCATTTTAACTTGCATGATGTTTTATCTAATACGTACATTTGGAAACAGCTTTATGTCTCTGTTCACCCAGCGCCCGGCAGCTGCTCGGATGGATTTCATATTTGGAATAAGGTTCAACTGGGTGAACCCATTAACTTTGTTCCATCGTTCAACTTCATAATGCATACGTCCACCCTGGGAGAGCCATTCGTTGTAGATTGTGACGGTTGTGTCAGAGGACGCCGCTCCCCACAGCAACAAGGTGCACAGGACCGGTAAAAACATTTCACATAAGAAATATAATGCTGCTTGTCACGAAAATCTACTTTTAAATGTTTGTGTCAAGGTTGTAATCTACGTGGGAAAGTAGCAAATGACAGTCGTCAGGTAATATTCAAAACATGCTTGAGATAAGAGTAGATAATGTAAGTGGTATGGAAACGTGTCTCTGTCTAAACAGAGTGATCCCCTCAAGCCTGATACCCGCGAAAGTCCGGGTTAGAATTGGTCTTCAGTAACCTATGCTTGTCGTAAGAGGTGACTAACGGGATCTGTTGATCAGTCTCGCTGACTTAGTTGCCACATGTCATCGTTTCCCAATGGCGTAGATCGATGCACCTGCTGTTAGTCACTGGATTGTCTGGCCGATTATTTATAGACCGCCTCCATATAGGTAGAATATCGCTGAACAACAACCGAGCCATAAAAGTTTTATATCACGTTTGTGTCAATTCCATGAAGAGTATGTGCAAAACTGAAGTACATGCACGACAGCAAAGCTACGGTTCTTGTGATACCGAATAATTAAGAAAACATTGAGGTTAACAGATTGTGTGTCCAACTAAAAACAGTGAAAACAGCAAATCTAGATCACAAGTCTCTCAAGTTCAAGACAGGGTGTGTGAATTCCCAATTGCATATCGTAACATTGCAAATATCGCTACATGACAATATAGTCGCCAATAAATATTACATGTCGAACCTTCATAACAATAAACATTGCTACATGGCAAGGTACTTGTTTAAAAAGGCATGCATTTTTTAAGAGTGGGTGAGTGAGTTAACATTTAAAATCACGTCGGCAATATTTCTGCCATGTTGTGACTGGAACAAGTTGCATTGTTGTTATACCTTAAAAATAATAAGTATAATAACTGTAATATATCGCAGAATGTTTTTAAAACTAGTTTCAGGAGGATAAAATATCTGATTATAAGTTTACGATACAAAAGTAGCAGGCTTTAAATTGAAAATTCAAAGTAAAATAAATGCAGCCCCACCTTTCTTTTGGTCTGGTACAAGGAAGTTGAACATTATTCACACAAAACTAAAGTACAATACAAGTCCGCTTAATTACGATTTATTCAAAATTAATTTAAGATCAGATGCTTCTTGTACTTGTGGTTGTTCTTTTGAAAATCCATGACATTTTCTTTTAGAATGTTCTTTGTATACAACGCAGCGTAAAGATTTGTTTGTAAATGTAAATACTGTCGTTAAACATCGCATACCCATTAATCTAGATTTATTGTTATTTGGTCATGTTACACTATCACCATATGAAAATGAATTATTATTTGAACATGTACACATGTACATTAAGCTCACTGAAAGATTTGTAGTTTTATTCTTGTATATATTATAAACATCCTCTTTAAAGACCTTGTAAATTCATTCCACAAATCCCCATTGTCAATGTTTTTTATATTGTAAATATGACATATGACATATGTAACTTCTGGGAGAGGGCGTTCCTAAGTTGGATAACTTTCCATTTCATTTTCGAAGAAAATACGTTGAAAACAAAGTAAGAATGAGGCTATAGATCACCAGCAAGTAAGGTCGCCATGATAGGTGTTCAGAGTTCATTAAACGATATCAACCATTTCATAGGCGTAGGTTCATAATCGCTGTCGACCCGTGAAGATCCGGGTTAGAATATTGGTCTTCAGTAACTCATGCTTGTAGTAAGAGGCGACTAACGGGATCGGGTGGTCAGGTTCGCTGACTTGGATGACACATGTCATCGGTTCCCAATTGCGCAGATCGATACTCATGCTGTTGATCACTGGATTGTCTGGTCCAGACTCTATTATTTACAGACCGCCGCCATATAGCTGGAATATTACTGAGTGCGGCGTAAAACTAAACTCACTCACTCATGAATCGCTGTCAGACATCGTATTTGAATAATGCTCCAAAACAAGTCAGTCGAAGGGGTGTGCATGCAATGCATATGTCACTTCAACAGAATGATACGTGGTTTCCACCAGACATGAAACGATCTATGTTATCGGTAGGCCAGAAGAGGTTCAAGTGATAAAGAAACTGAGGTAAACGACCTCTCAAACCAGAATCATATTAGTCCTTAAAAATGGCGTGTTTCCAGATGGTATCATATGCTTTGTCTCAAGATCAAAGAAAATTGATACCATGTGTTGTACGGCAACATTTTTGAAAAAGGATTCTAATTGTTTTTAATGATCAATAAAACATATTGAGTATTTGTTATTAGTTTATTTGTTTCCAGATACCAAATGTATCTATTATTTACAAATTGTTCATGGTTTTACCGACACAGTAACCTGGCTTCAGATATGTGAGGAGACGGCCCCCTTGAGGTTGTGATTGCATTCACTCTGAACAACCAAACAGACAATTTCTCCATTGTTCGGGATAATACCTTTACGAGACTTATACAGTATGTTAAGTCAAACATATTCAGCCTCTTTTTGAAAATGCCGCTACTTCTTCTTTGATACTTATAATTATTTACCCAATGTGTAACAGCATCCAAGCAGTCTAAAGGCATGGGACACTAGAAATGACCTTCACGTAAGGGAAACAAACGTGTATTCAAACGCTTAAGGAGTGCTGAGATTGACAGCTTGGACACTCCACTCTGTTCAAAATTATAAGATTATCACGATCATTATAATAAATTATCATATGCTATACAATGTTATACATTGATAATATAACTGCAAGTGAGTGAGTTAATATTTAACGTCACATCGGCAATGTTTCAGCCATGTCGTGACGAGTACAATTTTGACGTTGATGAAGAATATCTAAATATTATAAAACCTGTCATCAAAGGAGAGTAAAACAACTATAGTATCACAGTCAGAACTAAAACTAGCATGTTAAGTTAAAACTAGTAGCACTATTTGGGCAATACAATATAAAAACAGGCTACAGGTCGCCAACAACTGAAGATAGATCACCACACTAGGGTCCATGGGGACTTTTGCTACCTGCATAGATCCTAGCTGTATTTACACCATCCCATTGGCGATTGCGCTTCCTTAAAAAATGTGGAAGATCCAAATTTACTTCAAATGTTTACTGCAAGTGGCATTTCAGATGGGGAGAAAAGTAGTTGAATATTTGCAGATTGTTTCACACGTGTATATTTTAATCAACGACTTTGATGATGACTTGTTTAGAGTGAGTGAGTGAGTTAAAATTTATGGTCACATCGGCAGAATTTCAGCCATTTCGTGACGAGAACAATTAATTGTTATACATGGTAATTAATGGTAAATTATAAATAAAACTGTGAAGGAAGGACAGTAAAATAACACGATTATCACATTTATTAATATAAAACTAGTATTTAAATCTAAAACATTTTAACTATAGATGACAAGACAATATAAAAACAGGCTATAGATTGCCAACAACTGAAGGTAGATCACCATACTAAGGACCACGGACTTACTGTACAATTGCTTCCTACATGGACCCTAGCTGGATTTACGCCATCCCTTCAGCTATTAGTAATTTTAGATAATCTAGCCTCAAATTAAAAGAACATATATTCTACGATTAAAATAGTAGTAGGTTTAAATTTATTTTGAATGTTTTGGGACTTATGTACCGATTAGTTTAGAAAATTTGGTAAGTAAACACTTTGTGTATCCAAGGCAGACAACATTTCTTTGCTTATCATCATATACTATGTAGTAATCAAAATAATACTGGTAGAATTTCAGAAAACCAATATTTTGTGTAATGCCACACTTGAAACATGGTCAGTTATAAAAATGAAGCTGTGTATGAACAGGCAAACTGAACACTCTTATAAAGATTCTATAGATAGGTTCACAGCGTCAGGCTGCATTCCTGTCATTCCTGACAGAGATAACCCGGACAAATATATTCTGCCATAGCCTATTTTACGTTTTATCTGAACTAAATACTTGACATATCTCCACGTGTGCTCATAACAATTGTACGCCGTCATCCTTCACCAACGTTTTACTGAAATGGATTAAAAGTATCTGATTTCACTTTACTTCACAGGCAATAAACAGTGTTTCTAGAGGTAACAAGGCAGATTTTTTTTTCTGGCCATTAGGCTATATTTTGCGCGAAATATGCCGTAGGCTGGGCATATACTGACCTGATTCTCTGATATGACTCACAATAGGGCGTGTCAGCAGATCTAGGTACCGTCTTTGGTAAGTGTCTGTGAGTGAGTTAATATTTAACGTCACATCTGCAATATGTGAAGGTAGATCACCATACTAGGAACCATCGGGACTTACATTACATTGGCAACCTGCATGAATCCTACTGGATTTACACCATCCCTTCAGCCGCTGGTGATGTAGGAAGATTTAGCCGAAAGTTAAGATAACAAAAATATAACGATTGAAAAGTATGTTTTTTACGAAATTGACTTTGAAAGTGTTTGGGACTTATGTTCCCTCTCAGGAGGACAATAATTTTCCGATACTTTAACCCCCTTTGAGGATACAGCCACTAAAAAATCGCAGCTGCTAATTCATACTACCATGTTTAAAATAACATTTATCTATGTACAAAACATATTATTCAAAATTTATGCAATAATACTATTTCCTTTAAAAATTCAATTATTAAATGATAATTAACATTATAAAAAAGATCCTTAATTGTTTTGACATTAAAATATTTATCCCTTGTGATGGAAAAATCAATGCAAGGTAGATTTACATACTAGGTAAGTGTCAGTTTTCTCACGAGCAGCAACCCTTTCTTGTGGATATATTATATATACAGTTAATGCATCCTCAGTTATCCAGCATCTCATATCTCCGTAATGTGTGGACTACTCAAGCTTCATGTCTTCATTACCGAAGCTATACTATTCACACTTTGCTCAAGGGTCAAATCATTAATTCAACAGAAAACAGTTGTTGGGTCTAATTTAGTTTAAATATCTAAGCTTATTGTAAGCATGGATCGTAGGTTTCAGTATGTCACTGCATCTTGTGGATCCCATACCTGCTATTGACATGTGTTGTGTACTTGTCTCTTTGTATATCAAATATATTGGCGAGCTGCTTTGTGAGAAAGCTACTAAT